CTTCCCAGTGCCTCAAAAGTTGGCCGAACCTTTTGGACTAGCACTGGCTGTAACATTAGTAATTGTAAGTGGTGTTATTTCAAAATTGCTACCATTATTTAAAATGACCTATTCAAAGAGCCCAATGAAACCACCTAAGGTAGGTGAACAGCTAAACCTCGCCAGACAGATGGATACCTATGAGCAGTATTTAATCTTAGTGGCAAGCCAGGCTCACCTAGGACAAGTTCCTGGCTTGGAAGCAATGCTTACTGGGATACAACCTTGTGAGCTAAATGTTTACAGAGAATGGAGAACAACAGGGTATCCAAGCAGCTGCATTATTATGTAAATCCGAAAACATTGCTATGAACACTTCGGTTTGGCCTACAAATGGTTCTTTAAAGTTTAGCTCAATAATATAATCACTAGTTTGATTATGTTCCAGTATTATTCATTTATTCAACAATTATTTTTTACCAACAATTTTGTCCAAGTATTGAACTTAGTCACTGAACGTTATTAGCAAACTACTGATCTAGAAGTATATCATTTTCAGAAAGATTCCCTATTTTTATCTATATAAAATCTTTTTTTTTTTTTTTTTAGATAAAGCCTCACTTTGCTGCCTAGGCTAGAGTGCCATAGCATCTGCCTAGCTCACAGCAACCTCAAACTCCTGGGTTCAAGTGATCCTTCTGCCTCAGCCTCCTGAGTAGCTGGGGTTACAGGTGCTGGCCATAATGCCTGACTGATCTTCTATTTTTAGTAAAGTCAGGGTCTCATTCTTACTCAGGCTGATCTCAAACTCTCCCACCTCAGACTCTTTGAATCCTAAGAGTATAGGTGTGAGCCACCACACTGCAGGTGTGGTAGCTTTTAATGATTTATCTTTACTTAATAAAGAAAAGTACCTTGAGTTCACATAAAAATATGTTTAGAAGCTAGATGAGTAAGTACGTGAAAAGTTAAGAACAATGGTTTAGTTACTATTATTATTAAGCCCAAAATGGTCTCTAAAATTCCCTCAGGCTACTCATATCCATTCCCGCTGCATTTCTTAAGCAGAGTCAGATATTCGTAAAACTAGCAAAAAAAGGAGAAGTAGACATTAATTGTCAACTTCTATTTCTACAACAGAGAACTAGACAATATTAACTAAGTCTCCATTTGAAGGCAATTAAAATACTAGACAATTTAAAAAAATATATGCTTGTAGGCATCAGATAACTAATAAAGAAATGAAAAGAGCCAAGATTCAAGGGAAGACAAAAACTCAGAGAGGCACTGATACTGTTTTCCCCTGGTACTGTCTGCTGATTCAAGAGACTTCTGAGAGGCTTCTAAGCTAAGCAGTGTTTTTGACAGTCTCCTGGGAGGAGAAAGGCCAAACTGGACACAAAATCTTGTCCAAGCCTGAAAAGGAAGGCCCTAATAATTTGCCATGTTTTGGTTAGGTTTTAAAAGGCTACTTTCTACTTCTTAGGAGAAAAGATAAACTGGAAGGAGATGAGCTCACTAATATTTTGAATCCAAATTCCAATAAAGTCTGAAATTGGATTAAGGTCTTGCAAGATGATCTGTGCTCCTAATTGCCTGCCCAGAGAAAATATAGATCCTCTTAGGCCTCAATTTATTATTATACTTTTTAACTTATCATAGCTCTCCTGTAATCAAAATTAATCAGACATGTGAAGAGATAAGAAAACATGAAAGAAACTTAAGAGAAGCATGTACAATTGAATCATATCTATAAGGGTTCCAAATAGTAAGATTTGAGACACAGACTTTAACTATGATTAAAATATTCAAAAAGATAAATGATTGAGAATTTTGGCAGCAAGTCATATATAACTTGTAAAATTAAAAAAAACTAAGAGCTGAATAGATGAATTGCATAGCAAGTGACAGAGAGCTGAGGAGAGAACTAGTGAACTAGCAGGTAAGTTAGAAAAAAATATCTGTAAAAGATGGAGAGACAAATATATGAAAAGTTCCTAAGTGAACATAACAGATACAGGAGACATATAGAGAAACTCTTGTGTACACATGAAGAGAGTCTGAGAAGGAAAGAACAAATGTGTTAAAGCAAATTTTAAAATATAGTTGATAATTTTTTTTTATTAAATCATAGCTGTGCACATTAATGCAGTCATGGGGTACAGTGTGCTGTTTTTATATACAATTTAAAACACTTTCATCAAACTGGTTAACATAGCCTTCATATCACTTTCCTAGTTATTGTGTTAAGACATTTATATTCTACATTTAGAAAGATTCACATGTACCCTTGTAAGATAAACCATAGGCGTGATGCCACC